GGAAAGAGAATTGAATTCAGTTAGCGGGATCTGGTTTTCGGATCTGAAAAATGAAGACGTAAAGAAACTTTGACGGAGAGATCCGGTGCAGATCTCTGAACATTGTATTCATTTCTTTGCGCATTTTATATGAATGAGATTCTGGCTTTGCGAGTTTCTGCAACTAACCAGACAAGAGCCACATAACGCGCTCCTTCCTTTCTCTCTGTCTCTCTCGGCTCATGAAAGGTTTAAACCCACTTCCACAGTGCACAATTAAAATAAGGTCGGGTTAATAGGGGAAATTAAGAAATAAATAAAAAAATGTGTTAAAATATATTAAAAGTTGCAGTAAAAATATTTTTATTTTTAGTAAGTGTATTTAACAGACTGTTTAACCTTGTCTCAAAATATGCTAACTTCTCTTTGTTATTTTGATATATCTATGTGAAGGTTTTTTTCTTAAAAAAATTATGTGGAATTAGTTTTGGTAAAATTAATTATAAATCATTAAGTATAAGTGAGATGTGTGTTTAGATTAATCTCATTCATAAAATTTACATCAAAATTGTGTATTGTGGTAAGATAAGCTGACTTTATATGTAGTATTTGTCAAGTGTTTATATTAACATTTGAAAATAAATTTTAGAACATTAAGGTCAGTGTTTAAGCATGTTTGATAACAAGATGATGTTGATTTGTAGTTACTGTTTTTTCTTAAATAATAAATAGTTGTTTTGATATAAACATTTAGGATCGATTTAATGATAAGATTGAGATAATATATTTAAAATTTAAAATTTATTATCATTATTTTAATTCATTTTAGTATTTTAATTTTTACATTTTACATGCTAAATGTTTATAAAGATATTAAAAAAATTATAATAAACTATATGGACAAATAATTATTGTATTTGAATATATAGATTATATTTTTTTTTATAAATATATATCTTGAAACATAAATATTGTATTTTAAATTTATGATAATTAATTTAAACTGCATCACAATATTTTTTTAATTATTGATAATTTTGTAAAAATATTAAAATTTAATTTATAAATAAATATTATAAATAAAAAAAATTGAATTAGATAAAAAACGTTAAAAGAATTCTTAAAAATGTTTTTGTTGGAAATTAACTCCTAAAAATGTTTTTAGACAAGATAAATTCTGTGTTAAAAAATAGATAAATAAAAATTTGTATTAGATAAGAAATTTAAAAAAATTCTACAAACACTATCATTAAATAATAATTTTTAAAAACATTTTTGCACAAAATAATCATTCACATTTAATATATAAAAATTCATCGATAACAAAAAAAATATTGATTTCATTAACATTTTATAATAATGTGAAAATATAATAATTTTTAAAAATATTTAGACTTAATTGTATTTTTTATATTTTTATGAATTTTGTCACTTAATTTTTTAAAATTACACATTTTATCATTTAATCTTTAAAATTTTACAAATTTTATCGCTTAATATTTGAATTTTTAATGTGACACATTAACATGTAGTAAGTTATCTACTTTCCATTGCGCTCAACTGTGATAAGTGTAGAACCTGTTAGGTCGTTTTTAGCGAGTAAATTTATTATTTACTCATACTTTTATGACATAAATAGGATAATGATTCGCATTTTAAATTTATATTAATTAAGTTCAGGATTTAATTAAATATTTTCGTTATTATGACTTTTAACTTTTAATGTATTTTTCAATCTGTTTTAACTTTATATATATATAAGAAATTATATATATATATATATATATTCACATAGTCATGAGAAGTAAAACATATGTTACTGCTTTCTATAAATGATTCCTGATATAATTTATATTGTTTGGTCTATTGATATGTTTGTATTGCTGATTGTAAACACGTGTAATAGTGTAATTTTGCGTAGTTTTCCCTCGTGATCGTAAGTAGTGTTGGGTTGTGTGAGTTCAATGATGAACCGTACCTAAAAAATATATTTTGACACTCATACCAAAGGACGTCTTCTTAGCAAAAGTAAGATAATCCCCAAGTTTTTGAGGAAAATGTTATGTTTTGCAAGAAAAAATTGTGTTTCTAAAGGGAAGAAAAAATGTTTTAGAACATTGATATCTCTTTTAGTGATTATAGGACAGATTCTTTGTGGACATAAGAAGCTTAATAAATATATATATATTTATATATATATATATATATATATATATATAAATATGACTAATTTGTTAGTGTACATTTGTAATGAGATATCTTTTAGTTATTAAGGTATGAAGAATTTTATGATTAAAATTTCAAACAACTTATATAATGTCTTTGTTCAATAGTGAAGTTATGCGCGATTATGCATTTTTGAATTTGATCAATTATTATTTTTCTTTTATTCGCCATCAATTGTTGTTAATACAATAGGTTAAACTATGAGAGTTGAGTAAAGATAATTAAGATGAGAGACTCAACCTAACCATAAAAATTTGTACAGCACTCATACTAACTTTATGTTTGTAACACATTTTCAAGTAAAGTAGGTGAACATTAATGACGAAGAGCTTGAAACTTGCATGAGAAAAATGCTTGAATTTTGTGTTTCCAATATATGGGAGTTTGTTTTAATTTATGTATCTTTTCTATTTGTAATGTATGAATACTTTGTCCCGATAGTTTTGTATTAAGTTTTGTAATAGATTTATACTTTAATTCTTATTTAGTTTGGTAAATGATTCTCTATATTAAAAGTTTTTTATGTCTAATTATTTAGGTATGAGTAAGATAATGTCGCCTAATATGTTACATATAATACTAAATAATCTATTTAAAATATAATACAAGTAAAAACTTTTAAATTTAAAGTAAATTAATATACATATATTTATTAATCGCATAATATAAAATATATGATAATTTTAATATATTAAAAAATAAAATAATTATAAATTATTGATTTCTTTATATATATATATATATATATATATTATTTTATGTCAATAAATGGAATGAAATTATTATAATAATTACACAACTTTCAATTTAAGAAAATTAAAATATTGAAATAAACTTGTTTTTTCCCTTTCTTTTTTTCTCTTTATTTCCCTCATTGTTTTATTCTCATAAATTTAGGAATAACACTTCATTTAATTAAGTTTTTCTTTCTAAAAAAATTTGTTATCACTTCATTTAGTCCTTTTTTCCCCCAAAGTTATCTTCGATAAAATTATTTTATCTAATGATCTTTACAATTTTTGCTTCACATTTAATATTTTTAAAATATTAAGAGAATTCTTTTAATATCTCTAAATATTACAAGTGTGTCAATATTCGTTTTCCTTTTACACATGTTCAACTTCATTTTTTCTATTGTTTGCTTGAGGCGGATGATAACTTATATATACAAATATCATGGAAGCAATAAACCACCTGGTTCTATGGTGTAGTGGTTAGCACTCTGGACTTTGAATCCAGCGACCTGGGTTCGACTCCCGGTAGGACCTTCTTTTTAGCTTTTTTTCACCCCTCATTTTAGATGTTCTAAAATATGAAATTACCAAATTAATATTTCTGTTTTTCCCCCCTATATGAAGTATTCTTAAATGATATGAAGTCTTCTTAATGGTGGAAAAGGTAAACAACGAAAGGAAAACAACTAATGATTATTTTTTTTTATAAATTCAAGTATTTTCTTTTAAATTGAACTTGACAATAATTCAACCAGGCAAAAGAAAAAAAAAGTTAGCATTATATAAAAAGGCAAATCGACACACTTGCTTCTC